AGCTCATCGAAGGAATTCATTTGTTTAGTCAATTACCAAAATTTGGATGATTTTGAATATTCACTTGAAAAGTTATCAAAGAAAAACATTTTTCATTTTGTAACTTCGAGGGCCCGTAACTTGGTTACGAAGACTTTTAGGAAAAAAAGTTATATGAAGTACTGGTGATATTTTGACCCCATCTATACATTCCCGAGAGGAAAAGAGAAAGTCCAGGGACACCCTGTATAGTAAAGACTACGTATGTAACTACAAACCAACAAAAAAGAACAGCAGTATAAATTATTTGCTTAAAAAGTTACATTGAAAATTCATCAATGTTATAAAATAAATTTTATTGCAGAAAGCGTTTTATGGAGTTTTGAAATTTGAAGTGTGTAGGCTTAATTTTAATGCCAGTGGATAATTTATTGTAAATTCTTACACCTGTTGGGAGAGGTCCATTTGATGCTACTTCGAGATTGCTATGATTTGGATAGATTAGCTGATTGTTTCTGGTTTGGTAGATATGCATGTCCGAATGCCTGGGAAGAGTGTTTTTTATTTTATGAATGCAGCAGGCAACTTCCATAATATAAAGACAGGCCAGAGGAAGAATATTCAATTCGGCAAACAATGGTTTGCTGGAATTCCTGGGTGATACATTTCTTATAGATCTTACTGTTTTTCCGAGTAAGAAATAGATGCTGTGTAGCCGGAGAGTTTACCATAGTGAAATGCCATAAAGTAGAATAGACTGGATTTCAGAAAAGTAGAAATTTCACAGACTGCCGATATCAACCACATTCCGCATACATCAAATTTGATATATTTTTGTATTTAATCTATTTATAGTTGCTGTAATATGCTCATTCTAGCTGAGATCGTCCTGTAGGGTTATTCCCAAGAATTTTGTTGTTGATTTTCTGATAATATTCAAATCATTCAGTTTGATTGAGAGTGGATTGTATATTATTCTTTGTCTGGTGCGAAAGATTAAATACTCAGTTTTTTCTATATTGAAATGTAGTTGATTAGCTGAAAACCATAATCCTAGTTTACTAAGAAGATGGTTACACGCTTGTTCATTAATTCCACTGCATTCCTGAGAGACAAGAAAAGATGAGTCATCAGCATTCAGCGTGATGTTATACTCAGGTGAAAATTCCACTATGTCAGCAATGAATGAAGAAAATAGTATTGGGGCCAAAACACTACCCTGTGGCACTCCCAGCTCCAGTTGCGAGGCATCTGAGCAGTGGTCAGTTTTATAAGTATTTATTTATCAAACCCGTCAAAAGCCTTGCTGAGATCGACAGTGAATAAACTTATTCGTGGTTGCCCTGTGGACTCGAAACATATTATATTTTGAATATATGAATAAATTCGCTTCACTGGCAATTTTAGCGATAATAGTATGTTGATAGTGATAGATTGAGGATTTTGAACAATAAAACAGTGTATCGTGAACTATACTTTCAAATACTCTACTGAAAATTGGTAGTTTACTTCTACCTCGGTAGTTATTGACTAGATTTCTTCTGCCGGAGTTTTAATATATTGTGACAAGAAGAACCGTTTTCTGAACCTGTGGCGAGATACCAGACTGTATAGATTCATTGAAAATATTACAGAGTGAGTGGCTTGAACTGATTTAAAAGTTTTTAATGAGATACAACGGAGAGCCGACAATTCGTGCGTCTCCATTGACGTCTAATTAGTTAATTGTTTCTAGTAGGTACTGTTTCTGGAGTCAATTGGAATTCATTAAATGTCGTTGTTGAAATGTGCCAAGAAATTATGTCTTCGCAAACAGATTGAAAATGATTAGAACACATATTTTGGCATTACCTGCAACGGTATCACTGAAACTCAATTTATCATGATAACCAACCCAATTTTGATAGCTCGACGCGAAAATTTTGATCTGTTTGAATATTATTAATGTGTGTTTTGTTATCTTTGGAGATAAAATTCTACATAGGAAGCACTTTATTTTTATCAGTAACTTAGGAAACATACAATCTAGATCTTTGTAGAACTTTGATATCGCTTCCTATTTCTAATCTTAGTTGTGATAGGAATTGTTCAGTTCATCATATTTCCCTTTCTTCTCATCAAAAAATTATCCTGTTTTGATATTGAGTGGCTCCTTTTTTTATACAGTTAGTTATATGGTTTATTAAGCTATCTATCTATAACTTACCTCTATCATAATAATAATATTCATTTTCCATAAAATAATAGTATTATATGATATCAGAATATTTATCAATTTTGATAAACAAATGAAGAAAACCACACAAAAAAATAACTCGTACGTGGAGAGGTTTCTAATACATTTATTTGGATATTTACGATGAAGTAGTTTTTAAAAAGATATATGAGTAAGTGTCCATGAATATTTATATAAAAATTATCTTTTGTGAAGTAAGAGTAAAATAAACGAAGAACAAGGCAAAGCTATATATACAAATACAGATATCACATGGAATATTGAAAAATTAAAAATAATTTAAAAAATAGAAAAAAAAAAACACAAAAAATACACTATGAGGTATAAGCGCTTAAAATTCAAATGCTGTTATTGGGATATAATTCGATTCAAGAAGCTAGAATTTAAGATATTCGACAAGTAGTCGGTGAAAGATGAAAAGAGTCAATTTCTTATATATTTTTTTGAAGATATTTGAATTTGGTAGTTTAGGTATTAATGGAAAGTTCCTTTTATAGTTTCGACCCAAGATGGGCGAATTATCGCTCATTTCATGCCTTGTATCATATTGATGATCGATTCGTATAAGGTCACTTTTATTTTAATATACTTCAATTAGTAAAATCTGATTCATGCCTAAACAGCTGAGTTCTTTGGAGAGATACATTCTTGGTTTCTCATAAATGGAGAACTCTCATTAATACAGTTTATTGTATGATTTTCACTATAAAGGGTTTTACAAAAACCGCGACACGTGTTTTGCTATACAATAGTTTTCTCAAGCGTTAAAAATAAATTACTTCTGAATTACAATTTTTTTATACTCTAACATATCACCTTCTTGTTTGCCTATTTTCTATTGCCTATTTTCTACCTTGAAATTTTAAACATTTTTTCTGGAAATGAAGGGGCTAGAACTCATGATTGAACTAATGTCCCTCTGTGATTAAAAGATTGACATATGTGAAGATTTTTTTTTTATTCAGGAAACTATTTCTGTGTTCCTTTATGTGGGCTATGAACATTCTTCCAGTTTGACCGATATAAAATATCGGACATTACCCACATGATAATTTATCCACTCTCGTTTTTTCTGAACCTGAATTTTTATCTTTGTTATTCTCAATATGCATGCCTAAGTTATCGTTGGTTTTGAAAGCAATATTTACACCATTGTTGTGCAGAATATTTGAAATATTCGCTGTGGGTTGGTTCTTTGGAAGTTTCTCGAAGTGAAGATCAAGAAAGGTTTTCTGTTTATAAAGTAGCCAAATGTGAACCTAATTGAGACTTTTATATTTTCAGGTTGTCAAAATGAATCTCATAGTCAGTTCGATGTATGACTTCAGTAGCTTCCTCACCAAAAATTTGGGTAAGTCAGAAAATTCTTGAGTCTCATTGATAGATAATAGTTTGGCTCTATTGGAAACGGCGTTTCGTAGAATACATATCGTATGTATACATATATTGAATTTCTGGAATGAGCTTCAACAGTAATGAAGATGAAAAATAAATTAAAGGTCAATATAAGAGTGAAACTTGTGATCCATGAATGGTTCGAAAATGAAAATACTTTCAGAAAATAATCTAATTGATGGTTACCATATTTATAGCAGTTGTATCCTATCAATGGATAAACTATTGTAAATTGAATTATACCAAATAATTGAAAACTCATGTATTAGGTGGATGAAATAGATAGACGGATTTATTCATTTATTTATTCCACAAAAATGTTTGTAGCAGATTAAATATAATGTGAAAATTTCTCTAAAATATTAAAATGAAATTATATGATGAATATTTGATAACATAAAGATATTTTCATTAACATACCGTTTCTCTCAAATAGGCATTGAAACAGAATATAATCAATTTTTGTCATACTTTTTTTGATGTGTGATGGTGAGATGAGAGAAATGCATATTACAAAGTGACAATGAGGGTCCACATATTCCATAGAAATGTAGTATCTAAATATCACAGCGATGCTGTTGTGGTATACAATTTTACTTGCTTGACGTGAGCATATATTTACTTCTGAGATAGAATTGATCACTCAACTGAAGTAGAGATAATTCTGATATACTTCAGTTGATTTAAAAAATCTGAGACTAGTTGTTGAAAATTACTTATTGGAAATGAACTGATATCAATCCAGACTTGGGTACTGGATTGATGAAAATATCATGTTATTTTTTTTTCTAATTTCAGATCCACGATTGGCAGATTGGCCCTTGATGTCGAAACCACTTCTAACATTAGCAATCTCCCTTTTATATATCTATATAGTGAAGGTAAGACGTTTTTGTGCATTTATTCACCGACCCAGATGTTCATATAACGAGCAATTACCTTTTTGCGGAAAAAAATTAATTATCAAAAACAACATATAATCAATTATAACGAACTATAACTAATTTGGTTTTTCATGCTGTGTATTACAACATTCAAAGAGAATATTCAAGGCAAGGAGAAAAAGGAAATTTATCAAAAACTGAAACGAATATTTACACACTACTCTGTAAAGAAAAAGGTGAATTTTCATTTTGTCAAAAACATTTTTTTATTCGTCAATTTCCAAAGATTACTAGTCAGAATTTTCAAAGGTCCGCCATGCCACCAATAACACAATGTGTGATTCAGTAGTAACAATAACGATAGGAGAAGTCAATTTACAGCTGAACAATTTACATAATTATCTACCTGTACAGTGTTAGGGTTATCAATCTCAACATCGAGGCGAGACTGCTGGAGATTTCTTACCCAACTTATTCAGTTTATAGCAGAATATCAAACATGCAAAAATTGAAGAGGAAGGAAGATCAAATGAAGAAATAAATTTTAAAATGCCCAAAACATGAAGACCTCCCAAAAGACAGAAAGAATACAGTATAGTTGTTGAAGGATAATGAAGTTCCTCGTGGGATAGCTCTTTTCAGTATATTTAATGAATGTTTGCGTGTTAATTTATTTATCCCGGTAATGTAATTTCAAATACGTTTCTGAAGTAGTATGAACGTTTGATTTTAATGGTGATTATGACTGTTTTACTCATTACTCATGGTCGCTTCATCCAATTTCAGATATTGGGTCCTGCTCTAATGGAAAATAGAAAACCATTCCAGCTGAAGAAAACATTGTTTGTATATAATCTATTTCAAGTCATATTCAGTTCATGGTTATTCTACAGGGTAAGTTATCATTTTTCTGTTGAACATCGATGAAATTACACATGAAAAAAATGATTTGGAGAGAACAGAATCCGAACGGTGGTCGAATAGAACCGGTAATACTAAACATTTCGTCGGCTAATGCAAAAGACATCATCAGTGGTATATGTGTTGACTGTGAGAACGAGCCACAGAGTCGTGACTGAGACTTCGAGATATAACCATCGTCCTCGCAGTCAATGCATATACCATTGATGAGGCCTGCAGAGAAGGAGTAATGTCTATTCGACTACGGCCTATCATCCTGGATTCATGACACATTATATTCATAACACATTTGTTTATAGTATGATATTTTGAGAAAGAGTAAATTCATAGAAAAGATCTCTTTTGAAACCCAATAGTTTTTGAGAATTCGCCATGGGTTCCTGCACTCCTTCTGAAACCTAAAAAGACATGATTGAATACAAAAAATCATATATTAGTTTGACGAAATTTCCTCAAATATAAATATTGGAATGAAATAACTGATTCAACATTTGGAAGCCCAGCTGTAAATCGAAATATGGATGATGCGTAAGAAGCAGATTTTATCTGTTTTGAGACTATATGTAATGATATTGTCATGGAAAGTTTCATCTGAAAGATGGACTTGATTGATTCTAGAAACACTAGACTCACTTTCTTGAAAAAAGATATGCTAATTGGTTTTTGAGTTTGACGTGTCATATTCTTTAGTAAGAATAATCACTTTAAAACTGTAGTATATTTTTTCTGAACTCAGTTGAGAATGAGACATCCATAGTACATCCATTTGAAATCTAAAATGCCAAAAACAGTTCCCAATGGTATATGACTAGGGCCATAGTTTGAACAGGACTGTTGAACAAATACTATAACATAGATAACTCAATACTGTTTGGGGAGAAGCGTATTTATTCAGCAGTATACAATACAAAAGTCCAATACTTTTTGTCCATTGAAGCGATTGAATTTGCAGCATCTACATCATACTTCTCTACTACAGCCAGATTTTTTAGATTATTCATCACTTTTGGACAGTGAAGGACCCAGTAATTTCTTCTTTGATGATTTTGAAATTATTACTTTTTTGAATCAGGTCTTGTTACAGTCTTCAATTATTTTCTTGTATCGTAAGGAAACGAAAAACAAACAATTACGTATTTGACAACGGAACTGTTGAAATTGAAGGATAGAATCATATTTTTTGAACTTTACAAACATTACGTGTTCGTCTCAACCGTCATTTGATTTAGTTCACACTGAATGATTATTTATATTTCATTTTCAGTTCGCAAGTGGTGGATGGTTGACTGGGGAATACAACTTCATATGTCAACCACTTGACACTTCAACTTCACCACAAGCGCTGATGGTAAGTACACAAAACACTCAGCTCTTTTCTCAAGAATGTTTCGGGAAAAGTTGACGAAATTAGTTTTTCTATTAGAAGTGCATACTACTCCTTAGTGGTTGATTTGACTAGGTAACCTTCAAACGGCCTTAGCTTTGATACTGAATGATCTTGAACTGCATCACATGACCTTGATAGCCACGTTGAAGATCACTCAAGGTCAAAGCTTAAGCCGTTTACAAGTTACCTAGTCAAGGCTGTGTGACATGGTCCAAGTTCTGAATTGAATCTTTTTTTCTTGCAGTTTTGTGGCCTATAATTGATATTTCGAAATTCTATTGACTTTCTGTCTTGTATATTCATCTCATATTCCACATTTGAATTTAAGAAACATATAAGAAAGCTTCTACTGAATTCGTCATGAAATCCGCCATTTTGTAGCTGTGGCCATCTTGAATTTGCATCTTTTCCAAAGTGCATTTCTATTTCCTGTCATTTGATACTGTCAACAGGAAGGGGGGTCAAACTTCAATTACTAAATAAACAGGACAAGCTAAATAAAACAGTTAAATCGAAAATTAATTTCAACGAGACTTGCATTGCTTGTTGTGTTGAAATTAATTAACCTCATGAAAGAATATTTCTCTGTGGCAGTATTTCTGAAGTTGGTGTCCCCTCGCAAACGAGTTTGATTTATCCCTTACAAACAGAAATCCTTGATAGGTTTCTGTAAGAATTCTTCAATATCAGTTATAAATATATGAAACGTAATGAGGATATTTACTAATTTTGCAGATGGTGAGCTCTATGTATTGGTACTTCATTTCCAAATACACAGAATTCCTCGATACGGTGAGTCACATGAATTTTTTTGCATCATTATCTTGCAACTTTTAGTCAGTTGAATTTTAGTTCTAAGATTGTTCAAAGTAGTTTATTTCAGAGTCTGTATTTTTGGATACATTATTGAAAGTTGTTGCCCGCGGCTTCGACCGTGTAGAATTTGGTTTGTCACATTGTTTCGTGACAGACCAACCCAAAACTGACGAAATTCAAAACAATATTTGAACTCCTGTTTTTCCCCCTTGGGATGGAAATTCCTGATTCCCTTTCTTGCTGCTTTTTCACGCTATATAGATAACCTACCTGCATATTTCAAGGTTTTAGGTTCAGTAGCTTCGGATGTACGTTAATATAAGAGCGGGCAACAGCTAATCTAATATATAAAAGTGGATGTTTGTTGGTTGGTTGGTTGGTTGGTAAGTGATAAACTTCTACATCGCTCAACCGATCGTGATGAAACTTGACATTTTTAAGTAATTTTTCATAGAAAAGGTTTTTAGCCTATAATTTTTTCTGTAACTCGCCACTAGATGGCGCTGTGAAGAATTTTTTGAAAGCACGCCTAAGTTCCTTGATTCTGATTCTGTAAAAACATTGGAACAGCAGCGATACAGCAACATAGTACTAGTAATTTATATTTTCACTCTAAAAATACAGTTAGTGAAAAATTATGCGAACTGCACTAAGTAATGATTAGCTTCGAGAATCTAATTATGTTACGTATGAAGAAATTCGCAAAACTAATACAACCGTCAACGACGTTTGGCCTCACGCGTCTGCCCGCGTTCGGGTCGCGTTGTCGGAGATGGCGCTTCATTGCTTAGACCACCCCTCTACCCCCGCGCATCGTCCCCTGTCGTCTTATACTAGACGCGACGCGTAATGGCTCAATGCGTTGCGTCAAGTTATTCTTATCATGATAACTTTTAAACGATTTGTCCAAATTACTTAGTGTGAAAGACAAAGCTTATCTATATATTAAATACTTCGAACGAAAATTGTATCAATTTTTATGAGAATTTGACAGATATTCTAAAATGTGCATTAAAACAAAATTATCCAATTTAATTGTATTTATGGCTCAGTATTTTGTGGCTACCACATAAGAGGTAGATATTTGCTATTGCGGACTTTTATTTAGAACTATTGAAGATAAACAATCTTACGATTCATTATCTGTATGTAACTCCAACGGTATAGGCAGCGCACACCAAAATAGCTCTCAGGGAGCAAACATTTTTCTTACTTGATACTTATAGTTATATTATGACCAAAATTATACAAACACTTCGTAAATTGTGCCATGTTATGATAAATCGATCGATAAGAAACTAATTAGTAATTTTTCCTTTTCAGATATTTTTCGTAATGAGAAAAAAATATCAACAGATCACTACTCTACATGTAATCCACCACGGCATAATGCCTTTCGGGGCCTGGATTGCTGCTGCTTATTCTCCAGGTGGGGCGTTATTTTTTTACCAGGACCATTAAAGTAGTAGAAATGAACGGAAAAACTCATCAGGTCATCACATAATTCATATGATACGAAAGCTTACCGCTAAATTCACTCTTTTGATGAGTTTTATTCAATTGAATGTTTATTTTTTTCGCGCTTTATATTAGCTTCACCTGTATGTATGTATGTTTGTTTGCTTGTAACTCCCAAGTTCGGGATCTGTATTGACAGAATTATCGGCATTATTGCTTGATCTATTCGCGGGCAGATGGCGTTGTACGTAACTATCAAGTATTGCTTGAGCTATTCGCGGGAAGATGGCGCTATACGCAACCTCCTTGATAGGTTGTTCAAAAGAAAATCAAAATAAAAAACATATTTTAAGATCTATAAGTGTTAGCGAAATTTTGTACAACAGATGAAATATTTAAATATTTTCAATTAACCGTGATTTCAGTAATTTTATTAATGCATGTTCATTCGATATCTATATCATGGTTGTGCTTTAGAAAACTTATCCGCCATCTTGGGCTGTTCGCCAAACTGAATGTAGAACATCATTCAACGTCATCCAAACTAAACGTGTACGCAAAATTTGAACTCAATCAGTCAATTGTAAGATTTGTTCCGAACCAATATACAAACAATGCAAATTCAATAAAAGTTTGAAGTGTCATACGAAAAATATTTTTTTATAGGAGGTCAAGTGACATTCGTTCCCTTATTGAATACATTTGTACATATCATTATGTATTCTTACTACTTGCTTAGCGCTCTAGGACCAGAGGTTCAAAAATACCTATGGTGGAAAAAATACCTAACCGGACTGCAAATTGTGAGTATTGGTCTCTATTCATTTTATAACTTAAAATAATAAAAAAAATCATGTTGAACGGTTTTATTGGAAAAAAGATAATAATGACGTGGATAATGTGCTGAAGTAAAAAATAATTCAGAAGGATCTAAGTACCAGACATCACACCACTCTCCTCAGCAATCTACCGTATGAATCATATAAAAAATAAAATAAAATCGTTGGGCGTAGCGTAACAGGAGTAAATATGTAAATACTGCGCTTAACGATTGTTATTTTTTAGCTTATAGTACATTATCTACATCATATTTATCTTTTTTTTATAAATAAAACCGTTTAACAAAAAAAGTTTTTTTTACTCATTTTATTTTTGTTTACTTGATGCACTGTTTGGAACTTTCGGTGTAGTAATGCAGTTTTATCCCAACATCAAGCCGTTATTTCACCACCTCGACACAAGTTTCGATCACCAAGTGATCATCTTCAAGGAAGATTAATCTTCCAATGTCAATGCGGGTGAATTTGTTAAACCTACCACTAATCTATTGAACACATGTTCAGCAGCAGTAGTTTGTTAAATATATTATACAAGTTGTTGTAAATCAACCCTAATATCTCGCGGAAAACTGGTCATAAAATTATTCCGACTCTCTTCGTTGTATACCTTATATATTTTTCATTTTATGTTTATGTAGTGGACACTTTTGAAATTACTTCTTCGTCTTTATGAACTAACAACGACGCTTGTTTAAAAAAGTCATTGAGGCTTTTGCTACCGAGGTTTTCATTGTCACTATTTTTAGAGTTTGAAAGCCGTGGATTTTTGGAATGTGTTCCTGACGTTTCCCTGTCGCGAGTGGCTAGTTTCTTCAGAGGTTTATACAACCTGGAGTTACCGGATATTAATCCAGGATGTATAAACCTCTAAAGAAGCTATCCATTCGCGCCAGCGAAACGTCAGGAAGAAATATCAAAGTATATTCCCTGAAAATTTAACAGATGATGGTTGAGTTTGTCTTAAACATTTTGGGAAATTGAATAGAGGCCTTATAGTGACTTACTAGCGAATTAATATGTTTTTTGGCCCGGAATTGTGAGGCAAAAGGTTATTCATTTTTGATTCTTCAACTAAGATTGTCAACTACTCAAGTGATCACTTGAAAAATGTCGCTTGGCCATTTATTTACCCGCGGTCCTGGTATGCTTAACATACACCTGTCAGATTTATGTCACTTCATTTTACAATATGCTAAAAAAATGTTTCAAAAATAATTACTTTGTTCCAGACACAATTCATAGCCGTTATTATTCAATCCTCACAACCACTGTTCATTGACTGTCCGTATCCCAAAGCTATCTCCTACTGGGTAACTTGTGAAACTGGGTTATTTTTGTATCTTTTCAAAAGGTTTTATGATGGAGCTTACAACAAAAAGCAAACAGGTGGGGCATCCAATGAAGAAGTCAGTGAAAAGTCTTGGCGGCAGAAAGCGGAGAAGAAAACTCACTAGTTTAAAAGTCCATGTATTGCAATGAAACTTTTCAAGAAGAATATCTGTAATATAACAGTTTGTTTCGAAAAAATATAGAAGTATAAATTGATGAGGCCTTCAAGGGGGTGCCTACCAATAATTTCAAATGGTTGTGTTCCCTTTATTTCACTTTTTGAGTTATCCATACATAAATCACGGGGCAAAAAATCTGACGACCATTGCGGTCATTCTATGTCGTCTATTCCTAAAAATTAATGTATATGTTCTTCGTGTCATTCTATACTGTTATTGCGAAATCAAAGATGTCAAAGTTCACGTAATTAACTGAATGAAGACGTATCATATGAAGGTATGTGTGATAGAAATACATTTAGAAGGAAATATTACAGAACTACCTTCCCAATTAGGATTTTTTGGAGGTATCTGTCACTTCGAGGGGATTGTACCAAAAGGTGACATTTCATCGATTCATAATGACAGCAATTAAAATCATACTCATTGTATTATTAATCATTGAAATATGAGACATGCGCGCACTACTCAGCCTCAGAGAAAGTGATAGTTATTCATACACAGATTTTTTTATTTATCATTTTATTTAAATATCCTGGTGAACAGAATAGTAGCCTATCGCTGAATCGCTACTGTTTTCTTTAATAATCATTTTTGAAACACTCATTTTGTAGTCCTATACCTATAAAATTTAAACTTTCTATAATGATACTGCAGTTAAAATTGCATTCCTGGGCGATCTAACACCGAAATATAGTTCTAAAACCCACGACATTACACGAAACACTTTCGAAAGAAAGAATATATCGCACTGAAATGGAAGCTATTGTTGGTCACACTGCATAGTTTAAATTTTTCAGGTAAAAGACATTTATATAAATACTATTTTTAACCTGTTTCAATATAAAATCCACCATTAATTTTCTGACGTTCCTGTTAATAACAAATAAAAAAAACAATTTAGAACCGAAAGTTATATGCTTTAGAAAATAAGTTGTGTCTTACTATTACGCTTGTCGCCCACTTGTCCGGCACAGCACAGCACGGCGCTCTCCGTCGCCTAAAGGCGACGTGTAGTACCATCGCCCACTTGTCCAACTACAATCAGCATACCGAAGGTGCTGTTTGTTCGATTTCAAGGGAATTTCAGTTGACATCGACCGGTGACAGAAACATGTCTATCAATAGCAGTTCTGACGAAGAAGCCGTCATTATAGTGGCCGCATTATTGAATGTAGAAGAAAATAGTCACAAAAAAGAAGGATGAGCATACTTCAAGGCTGACTGTGAATCAAAGCATTTGAAAGAACAACTCGTTTTGGTCAGTCTCAATTCACCTACACTGTAGGTTGATGGACTGACACCCCTGGCTAATACCACGAAGAGCGTTGGATTATATCCGACAAGTGTCAGTGCACGATTCTTCACATAATCGATTTCAGCATATGCTGTTGGCGGAACTTTTGTGAAGAATCCTGCACTGACATCTGTTGGATATAATCCAAAGCCCTTCGTGGTATTAGCCAGAGAAGTTGTTGTTTTCAGTCCATTAACCCACAGTGTAAGTGAGTTGAGACCGGCCTAAACGAATTACTCTTTTACATAATTTCATTTTAAATTATTTTAAAAATCGTTTATTCAGTAAAACACAGGTTATGTATACTGTGGGAAACACAAAAACATACACTATATGTATCTGAGCTCAGTGTGGATAGAGAGATAGCGTAACGCGGAACCAGTGGGAAGAGAATCGCACAGTCGCTTGTGCATGGCGACCCGTCGCCACGGTATGCGCCGCCATGCGAGCAATCGGATTTACGTATGGCTATAGATGTTTCACATCAAAAATTTCACATCAACATTATTCCGAAAATTTATTATTGCAAGGTATAGAACTTTTCTTGAAAAAAGTATTTTTTGTATTGATATTGTGAATATACTTTATCTAAAACTAATCCAATTGAGTTTGTTTCGGAACATTTTACAGAAGCTAAATTCGATCACGTAGAACTTGTGATTACTGAAGGTTCAAGCAATGATAGGGAGGTTTTCTCCAGCCGACGAATGACTCAGATGATTCCTTCAGAAGTTTTTCACGGAAAAGTTGAGAATGGGATCATTCCATATGCAATGCCAAGTTTTGCATAGAAAACTGTTATGTTTGCTACAGACACAAATGTATTTCTGTTCCTTCTCCATCACTTCGAAAAAATGGCTATAAAAGACGTTTGGTTGATGAGCGGTACTGCAAGGAAGGAAATTTTTGTACCTATTCATGGTGTTCACAATGAGCATCAAGACGAAGAAGTGATCATGAGGGGTGCTGTAACGTCTTACCTGTCATCAATTAGCAAGTTTGCTACTTTTGAAGTGTTCCAGAAGCACTAGTGTCTAACGTTTTCGCTTGGTATCATACATCCCACCGAAGCAGCTCTATCTTCGGCAGAAAGGTCGCCAAAAAATTACGAGATTCGTATCACAACAACTTAGCATCTCAATCACCAATGAGCACATTGCTTTTACAACACATCAAACGCAGTAACTACTAAATTTTGGTTTGGGGGAACATGCCCCGGAACCCGTCTTGCAACCAATCACCGAGTGCGGCTGAAAGGAAGATTTAGGTGGCTGTGGTCCAATTACCACCACATTTTGGTCCCCTCCAGCAAAAGCTATCACTGATATCATCTTGTGTGATTGTAAGAAAAACTGCTAGTCTAAACTTTGAAAATGCCTCAAGGCAAAGTTGGTTTGTACAACAGCTATGTGTTTTTGTTCCGCATAGTGTAATAATTCTAAAGACGATGATTCAAATGGATAGTGCCAAGTTACTACTTTCAAGCTTTCAAAGAGTTGTCGAAGTCAAATTTGTCCAAAAAAAACTTCGAAAACATTTGCGGATTTTATTTGCAATCCTTAGTTAATACTTCCATTCAGGATTTCGGCTCGTCAATATAGATATTCGTGTCAAATTAGTACAAGAAGCATTTTTCACCAATTAAAAGCGATCGTTTTTCACTAAAGTGAACTAGGTTGTATTAGGAAATTTTAACAAAATGATAATCGATAATTTTACCTACCAAGATAAGAATAAAATGCAGGTTCATCAACTAAAATATTGCGTCACCATCGTTCTTCCATCAAACAATGCAAAGTATAGTTTTTTCTCATCCAAATATGCATACATACTGCAATAATGAACATATTCAAACAATCTTTCGAAAATGTTTCGAAATATTAGACTGGTTTGAGTGAGATATTTAAGAAATTCATTCCGTCGATATTTCATTAAATTTTCTCCACACTATTCCTTGAATTTTGACATTCAGACTGATCATTTCGTGAAAAAAATCACTATTTTTTTGTTAACTCAATTTCTATTAATGAACCACCCCCCGAACTCAACTCTTTCTACACTGACAGTAAATTGATAGACTTTGACTTCAAATTTCAAGAAGTACATGATATGTTTGTTTTTGAAACAATTTCTAATATAAAAACAAATGCAACGGGATATGATTNATATTTAAAAATTCTTTTTGTTTATTCCTTTGCGTACTAGGCGACATTTTTGAGGTTAAGTGGAAGAGCAATTGAATGATGACTTGTCATCATGTAAATTGAACTTCGCCTTTTATCTTCTTATAATGAATGAACTGTACATGATTAATTTGATTTGAATGTATTGAAAGATAATAAAGACGATATTATTATTATTATTAAAATATTTGAGTCCATTTGAGTGGGTGTCTGTTGATTGAAAATGTTCAAATTGATTGCCATCAAATTGTCATATATTCCGATGTATTTCTGGAGTCATTTGGTGGCACTTATCAAACAATTGTTTGATGCAAATCTTTTGAGGAAGCCAGTTGTGTTGAACTTTTTGAGTTTTCCGGCACCGCTGCAGAAAATGCCGATCTGAATCAATAGTATAATAAAGTTAAGTTCATGTTTCAACAAGACAGTGCTTTATTGCATTATTCTTTGATATTTTGCCAGTATTTAGACCAACCACCAGATATGTTGCCTCTCGAGTTTTTGTATCAACAGTTTGTCCACAAAAATAAGGGAAATTTTCAAATTCGTCAACTGTAAAAAAATAGGCTTCAAGAAGGCAAGTATCTCAACCCCAATGCCTTGAAAAACTTTTTTCAACTATTCATTTTTAATTCTTTTTTTTATTAGTTATTTCAGGGATTTCAAATCATTTTATAGTAGACAATGGAAGTCCGAACTAATGAAATACATCTTGAAACTGTCAAACACCTTCATCCAAAAAAATTGTTTATCGAAACTATTCATATCAAATGATTTCGCGCAGTTACTTTGTAGTTGTACTGATTATCAACTCACCTTGATTTTGATGGCTACATTCAACGTTGGAAAATATATAAATACAACACGTGAAGACTGGTCGACTCAATTTTTAATTTGTGCATATATAAGGAAAATTTAAAAGTGTGAGTGATTACGAGTGAACACACGAATAAGTTTCGATAGCTGCTGTGCTAATTTTTGAAATATAAAGAGGTAAATGAATGAATATAATGGAACCATTGGTCATTCCAATTATTTTTTCTACTTTTTCCATTACTTGAAACATTCGTTTTCTATTATACCAATTGAAATTTTTGAATGAAAAGGAAAAAATGTAGATTCTCTCTCGTTTACTCAAAATAAGAATGAATCCATATATAAATTCTTATTTTTGTTCTGTTGTTATATTACCAACTTTTTTTGAACATAGTGAAGAACAAAAAATAGTAGGACGGATAGATTCACAAAGAAGAAAAATTATTGGGAAAGAAAGTATTTTATCTTTCGTGTAATTCAATGTCTTCATGAAAGTAGCTTTCGAGTAGTTTCGAGAAGGCGTTTCTTCCAGTTTTTTTCTGATAGTTACTTCTTTGCATGATTTACACATGTTTGAATAGAGTTAATTTTTTGAAATGGATTGCTTCCTTCCTTTCCTTGGAAGATTCCCACATTTTTTGTATCAAGATGGAGAGAAGTAGAAGTTGAAAAACTTTCTTTCCCACTATCATCCTCAAATGGGGACTACAAAGTTTCAGAATGAATGACTAGTCAGCATTG